GGATGCAGTATACCACATTGGCAGATGTGCAGGTGAACATCTGCTTGATGTGGAAAGTCTTCTTGGGGCCTGGGATGGGGGTGAGGGAGGAGATATGGGGGCAGGTGTAGCACTTCCTGCGGTTGCAGGGAAAAGTGCCGGGTGTGGTGGAGCTGGAGGAGAGTGTGGAGCGGACAAGGGAGTCACGGAGAGAGTTGTCCCTCCGGAAAGCAGATAAGGGTGGGGAGGGAAAGATGTCTTTGGTGGTGGGGTCGGATTGCAGATGGCGGAAGTGTCGGAGGATGATGCGTTGGATCCGGAGGTTGGTGGGGTGATACGTGAGGACGAGGGGGATTCTTTTTTGGTTTTTATTGCGTGGACGGGGTGTGAGGGATGAGGTGCGGGAGATGTGGGAGACATGGTTGAGGGCGTTCTCGACCACCGAGGAGGGGAAGTTACGGTCCTTGAAAAACGAGGACAACTGAGATGTACGGGAGTGGAATGCCTCATCCTGGGAGCAGATGCGGCGGAGGCGAAGGAATTGGGAATAGGGGATAGCATTTTTGCAGGAAGGTGGGTGGGAGGAGGAGTATTCTAGGTAGCTGTGGGAGTCGGTGGGCTTGAAATGAATATCGGTTTCTAGGTAGTTGCCCGATATGGAGACCGAGAGGTCCAGGAAGGGGAGAGAGGTGTTAGAGATGGTCCAGGTAAACTTAAGGTTGGGGTGGAAGGTGTTAGTGAAGTGTATGAACTGTTCGAGCTCCTCGTGGGAGCACGAGGCGGCGCCAATACAGTCATCAATGTAACGGAGGAAGAGGTGGGGTTTAGGGCCGGTGTAGGTACGGAAGAGGGATTGTTCCACGTAACCTACAAAGAGGCAGGCGTAGCTTGGGCCCATGCGGGTACCCATGGCTACCCCCTTTGTCTGTAGGAAGTGGGAGGAATTGAAAGAGAAGTTGTTGAGTGTGAGGACGAGTTCGGCTAAGCGGATGAGGGTATCAGTGGAGGGGGACTGGTCGGGCCTGCGGGACAGGAAGAAGCGGAGGGCCTTAAGGCCATCTGCATGGGGAATGCAGGTGTAGAGGGACTGGACGTCCATGTCTTCCCTGTTACTTGCTGAACTTGGATGCTAGACTTTAGTGTTTTAATGCACAAGAACTCTCAAATTAGATAACCCCCATGCCCCCTTCCAGATATTAGACTTGTAAACGGTGCAATTCACCTTAGAATTGAGTGTGTGCTGTGGACACCTCTTTTTTTTTTGGCTTCAGAGGGACCCTTGGAGGAGAATGAGCCCTGGGGCGACATCAGTGAGGTAGGCTGGAGGCTAAAAATGGCACCTGAGGATTCGTTGTGGGCTGGGTCCAGCGCTGGCAGCAGTGAAGCGGTGGCGGGAGGGCAGTACAGTGACATTGACTGCAGCAACAGTCTCTGATGTTGGTGTGCCCAGGTGGCGAGGGTAAATTGGCCAAGTAGTGAAAGATGGTGCCTGAGAATCAGCTACTTCAGTGTTAGTTGGGTCTGGCAAGGCATTGGTGGTTCTGAGCTCGTGCTCAGATGGACTCTTCTTGAAGCTATTTCTTTTCATCTTCTCTTATTCTTAAACTATCAAAAATTGTGCCGGATTATGGTGACAAATGAAAGCTTTTCACTGTATTTTTATTGTATTTCACTGTAAAATACACGTGACAATAAATAATTAATTCATTCAATAAAACTGCAGATGGGCTGAGTTTCTCCCATCTATTCATGATTACAGACCCGGGGTGGATGGAGTTAAGGGACTGCCATAATCCAACTGAATGAAAGAGCAGACAAGAGACACTGAATCGCCTACTTCTGATCCTTTGTTCTTATTGCGAAGATGAAAACTTCTGTTTCATTGTGATATATTGAATCCTAAAGCTGCCTGAATATCTGTTGAAGTACAAAGCTCTGAGTGGCATTTCAGATTAATTTCCTCCTCACAAAGGCTATTGTTGAAGTGTATAAATCATTATACTGGAATATACCCTTTCTTGCATTCCAGCAATGTCGGAAGGAAAGCTATGCAATTTAATCACTCCACAAATTGTCAAAATACTTCAAGGTGAAATTGATAGCGATCCAAGTGTTTTGTTATACTTAATGCTCAACATACCTGACACTACAATCAACCAGGCAAATAGATGGCTGAACTGTTGGGGCAAAACAAATATGTGTCAAACTCCTGCTTGAGTTTGGCAGTGCATTAGTAGGGCCACACCTTGGTCCTGTGCCCAATTCTAGTCTCTGGGAAAGGAAGACATTTGAACCCGCAAGGCAGTACAGAGAAGAACAACAAGACCAAATGTGAGGTGCTGCATTTTGGAAAGGCAAATCAGGCAGAACTTAACGGTAAGATCCTGGGGTGTGTTGCCAAACAAAGAGACCTTAGAGTGCATAGTTCCTTAAAAATGGAGTCGCAGGTGGACAGGGTAGTGACAAAGGCATTTGGTATGCTTGCCTTTATTGGTCAGTGCATCGTGTATCGGAGTTGGGAGGTCATGTTGCAGTAGTACAGGACATTGGAGAATTCCAAAGTGGCCTAAATATTCAATTCTGGTCTCCCTGCATTAGGAAAGATGTTGCAAAACTTGAAAGGGTTCAGAAAAGATTAACAAGGATGTTGCCAGAGTTGGAGGGTTTGAGCT